GGGGGGGTAGGGGGGGGTCTTCGACCTGAAAAATCAGGGGTTAGGATTTGCACCCGGTGGAAAGAAACCTTGCTATCGCAAGAGTAACTCCAGCTAGCTTCGCTAGCTTTCGTGACAATGTCATCATTGTCCATCAAAACAATTGCTTTCCGAAGTGGTGCTTCTAAAGGTCCAAGCCAGGGTTGCGGTTTCTTCATTCTTCTGGCCATGCGAGAAACCAAAATCAAATTGACATCTGTCTGTGACACTTCAAGCCGATGAACTTCTTGGAAATTGTTTCTGAAAGATCCAGCACTGCCAAATTGACTGCACCGTTGTCAACACTCCAACGCAATGTGTTTTGCATCAAAGAAAAAAACTGGTCCAGTCAAACGAATCCAAGCGCCCTTCTTGATCTCTTGAACACGCGGCCGACGCCTCTTCACATTGCTAGGCGTCATCGGCGCTTGAACCACTGGAGCAGGCGGCTCCTGAGGCCCCTCAAGATCAGCTAAAGGCACTGCATCACGATCCGGTATTGAAGGCGTGTACTCAGGATCTATTTCAGTTCGTGGTGGAGCCGGCATGTCACGCTCAAACTCCTCCATCTCTCGGGCCATCTGTGGGGAAAGACCCGACGGTCGAGCTTCATCATGAGATGCAACACTAATGACTTCATCATCATCAGGTACATCGTACACTGGATAGGCTTTTCCTTTCTCAAGATATTGCAACTGCTTCTCCACGATGTAGTCGTTCACCATGCTCTTTTCAAGACCTCTCAAAATTGCCTCACAAAGTTCTCGAGGATACACAGCAGCTTCCTTGGAACGTCTGTATCCAACAACTTCCTCATGCAAGCCAAGTTAAATTTGCTCTTCAACTCGGACACCAAGCGCATCAAGATTCCCTCATAAATCCAGCTGTATGCGCCTCCGGGGTTCTCAAGCAAAAAGTATCTTCCTTTGTTTGACTGTATCTGGCAAACAATCAGCTTAAGAGTACGTTTGCCATATGTCTTTCGCAGCGTGTCCCAATCAATGTTGCCATTCAGATTGGTCAACAAACTCCAAATGCGACAGTCAAAAGCAATGATCAAGCAATAGGGATTGTGGTGCTCCAACGTATCAAAAAGAAGTTGCTCACCTTGCTTTGTCAACAAATCATATCCTTCCAACAAATCAAGGGGCTGACTGTTGATCCATCCACGAGTGGCAGCTGAGAGTCTTGTCAACGGAAATGCGCCACACCATGGTTCAAAGATCATGGTTTGTTGCAAGTGCTTCTGCTTTGTTGTCACTATGTTTCAATGCTACCCACATGCGATGACCTAAAGCTCTCTGGTTCATTGCTGTCTTCTGCAAAGCTTCCAAGCGTGCCGGATGTAACTGCCGGCGGGCATCCTCCTTTCGCACTCCTCTTGAAGACAAGTCCGGTTGGGCCCAAAAGGCCTCTTCCTGTGTCACATGCTCCAAAAGCGAAGTGGTGTCCTGAAGAATGCTCTCTAATGCTTCCTCTGCAAAAAAAACAGTCAAGTCCTCTGCTTCAGATTTCAAAAGTGGGGCACTGCCTTCTGTGGTTGTGTTTGTTTCAAACATGTCGCCAAAACTCACTTCTATTGCACGGTGTTTTGTTCTCGTTTGCAAGAGCGGCGCTTCGACTCCAAGTTCTTGTAATCTGATCTTCTTTTGCCTCATATAGATGATTGCATCCAAAGAATCTAAAGCGGAAATTGAAAGCAACAATGGTGTATTCCCTTCGGGTATTTCAGCAGAAAAGACATTGCCCAAACAACCTCCTATGCACAATGGAATCTTCCATACTGTAACCAAATTCTCTGTACTAGACCTGTTTGCAAAATGAAACTGCTTCTTCATCTCGGTTGGCTCACAACGAAGACCCTTGGGCAAATACTGCTCAAAAGCACGACGCCAACTTGCGGAATGCATGCAAGCTGCGCAGGCGGTATCGATCAAGGCCAATCGAGCTTCATTCACATGATCTCCTTCACCGATTTGGTGATAAGCACGTTCCAACTCCTGAGGCAAGGCTATTCGAGACAGGTCCGATGAATTCACATCACCACGCAGCTCTAAAGGATCCAAATTCTCTTCACGCACCTCGGACTGGACCATGTTTGCCCAGCCACTCATCCACTGCTCCTCAACGAAACGTCCCCGAGGCGGAACTGGACGGCGCCGCACGGGACCCTGCCGCTGCCACCAACGATGCTCGAAACTCTGTGAGACCTTCATAGTAGGTCATGTTGAATCGGCAACCTGTCACACCAAACCTGCTGCAGCCGAAGAACTTGTTCCCATTCGCGCGATTCACACAACCCATCATGGGTGCATTGCACTGCTCACACTTCATGTGCCAAATGGGAGCATTCTTGCTCCACAAGGACTCATCAACATAGTCCGGGGCATCATAGCCCATGGATGCACTCTTGGCCTTAGCCTTTGGCTTGGAGGTCGGCTTGGCGACTGGCGTAATCACAACTTGCTGAGATCCTTCAACACGGCTGACGATGAACTTCTTTCCACCTCCACGCCTTGGCACGGGATGTCCACCAAGGAACTTCGACAACCTCTCTTTCAGCTGCTCCTTGTTGAGCCCGGAATGAGCCACCTCAAAGCTGATGCACAACTCCTGCAACTGTGTCACACGCAAAGCTGTCAGGTTGGTCTCTTGCTGAGCCTCTGAAATGACCTTCTCTTCAACATCCACGCCAGCCTCTGTCAACGAAGTCGGCTGATACGGCACTCCACCGAGCTACACCAAATCTGGATTGTATCCATGATCCGGCTGCGGTGCACCCCTTGGGGAAGACACGGTGGACCAGGTGTCGGTCTCTGAGTCAAGACCGGGTGCACGAGTCCTCCTCCGGCGTCCGTCATCACCTGCATCCAAAGCCATGTGATTCTCCTCATCACCTGCATAGGTCATGCATACGAAGCCCATGTCCTCATCGGTCTCGCCCAAGGTGAAATAGTGTGGAAATGGCTGTTCACTCACAACATTGCCTGATCCCTTCTTTGACTTTCCACCACCTTTGGACTTTCAGTTCTTCTTGGATGCATCACCTCCTGAACGAGGACATTTGGGATCTCCGGCCCAATGGCCAATACGATGACACGCACTGCAACGTGTCCGCTCTTTCTCCTTGGAGATGGCCTTCTTGCGTTCCTCCCATGTGAACTCTCCACGGAAGAAACCACGATTCTTCTGCAGATTCTTCAACTTTTGCCGCTGATCATGATAGCTCTTCTTCTGCTTCTCCATAGCGGCATAGGCCTGGAAAATGTCATCGTCTTGGGAAGCTCCGGCATCGGACATTGCGCTCTTGCTCCCATTCTGTATCTTCATAAGCTTCTGCAGCATATTCAGGCTGAGTTTCCGGCTCATCCTCAACTGTATCATCCAGCCACTCTTCAATGAACGGCTGCTCATCTTCATCAACCCAATTGCTGTAGAACTTCTTTCCCTTGCCTTTGCCACCCTTGCGACGACCAACATATCGACTCTCATCAAAACCACGGGACTTCTCTCGTTCATGGAGGTCATGATACGAAATCTTCAACGCTGTCTCAATGCCCGCTTGTGTATATGATGACTTGTTGGCCAGCAGAATGGCACGACGATCTTCACGGCTAAGGTTGGCACCTCGCAACAAGAAATAGGCTTGCAAATCCTCAGACATGTTCGAAGCATCATCCAAATCTTTCAGATCACGCCAGTTCTGCCGCTTCCCACGAATGTAGCCAGCCATGTCCTGACCTTTGCGGCGATGACTTCGATCAAAGAATCGTTCAAATGCTTCTGTCTTGCGGATGATCACTTCTTTCTCATGCCAGCTAGGGCTGTGAACACTCGCTTGTACGCATCTGGGGCTTTCAAAGCTTCAACATCTTGCAACAACTCTTGGCAAGCAACCCAAGCCTCACCATGGAGCCCATCAATGAGCCGACGAGCGAATGGACGTTGTTTGCCAGCAAGGTCTTGCTCTTCCTCCTCCTTGGTCTTTCCTGCAAACCACACACGCTGCCTATTCTCTTTGAACAATGCTGGAACTGCACCGGTGAAATGTGGGATCCCTGATGAATCAACAACGATCTCATCATCACGATAAAAAGGCAACTTGCGATCAGCTGACGTCATGCGGAGTACACAGTGGAGCCAGGCCGGAACCTGGCTCCGCTACCAGTTTGAAACTGGGTAACGGAGTTTCAACCGCAATGAGTGACAACGCCAATGCAAAAACAACAAGCTGCTGCGGAACCTTTTTTGCGCAACGAGATCTGGTGGGCCTGTCAACGGCTTCAAAGCTCTATGTCGGGGCGAACGAAATGCCCAGACGGGCAATGGCACGAAGGACGCGAAGGCCAGCAAGACCTGCAGCAGTTCGGACAACTTGAACTGATCAAATGGCTACGGTGAATCGATCTCATGGCCCTGCATCAAAGGAGTTCCCACACTTCCACCAAAAATATAAACCACAGAAATCAAAAGGGAGCCCTGGTACAGGAAAGCTTCAATACACCATCAACGGCAATCAGCAAACGAAGTGCATCCTCATTACGAAGTCACTAGACTTACTACAACGCTCTACAACGCAAATGTTTTCCATGAACAGAGGACGAAACATTCTTTGTGGAGCTTTCTGTCGAGGTGCGGGAGAAATTTTTTGTTGGCCTTGAGCCCGCGACCAATTGGACGCGGAATGAGCTTCATGGTGTGCTTGTATTCCATGCCTCTACCTGGCCCCAGGACACCATGGGATGTTCATGTCTGTTTGAGTCTATATATCCTGCTTTCGACAGCCGAGGTGCATGGTGTGCAAAGCATTCGCCCTGGGTCATAGTCAATGTAGTCCAAATTCCTCATGGATTCAACTCACACGCCTCTTCAAAAAAACAAACATTACGCATCCAGGCACTACGCAGCACACGATGAAACGCCGCATTCAATACAAAGCCAGGCCACTGCAATGCCTTCAGCGTCGAATCAGATCGACACTCTTTCGGCGTAGAACCAAAGCCTTCGAGGTGCAAATACAATGCTCGGGTAGTGAGCACAATTTAGTGACCATTTATGTTGGAAATCAGAACCCGCACCTATTCCAAAGCCATACACGCCCTTGCCGTTGCCGACCTCTGAAGCGCAATCCAAAAATCCCAAAACGACTGAGAAAGTCTGCAGTTTTAGGCCGCGGCCACACCAGCAACCCACAATGATGGGTCAGGACGCATAAGTTTCAATTCAATCATTGCGTGTGTGTGTGTGTGTTTGTGGAACCCTTGCAGTCACAGGGGACCTTGCGGTCTGTATGGTGACAGGGGGACCAGGCATCTTGCTGCTGACCTGGTCTAACAAAAAGATGGGATGGTGGAGTTGGCCACTCCAGTGAACCTGCCACCCACTTGTGTTTTGAGTTTGTGTCTTGTAAACTGGTAGCGCTGGCCTCCAACCTGGTGCGATGGCCTCCAACGTGCTAGCGATGACCTCCAACTCCAACCCTGTTGTTTGATGCAGCTTTCAGTTCGTGTCTCGTAAACTAGTAAGCTGGCCTCCAACCTGGCGCAATGACCTCCAACCTACTAGCGATGACCTCCAACCTTGTTGTTTGGTGCAGCTTTGAGTTTGCGCAAGTAACCTACTAGCGATACTAGCGATGGCCTCCAGAATTTGGGGCGATGGCCTCCAACCTACTAGCGATTGCCTCCGACTTACTTCTCGTTTTACTCAGGCCCTTTTTCAAGCCTAGGTTGCCATGTGGCACGTGGCATCCAGTTCCGTATGCATTTTCATAAGTGCGTCTCTCTTCGGTGTACCCGACGAGTATCCCCTGTCGGGGGTTTGCCCAACGTTTCCTCTGCCCGGAAACAGAACAGCTCGCGGCGAGCGTAGGAGGCTTACGCCAAAGTTATTTGCCAAGACTTGACGAAGTACTGCATTTGAGCAGGCAGCTTTCGAGCAAGTCAATATGTGACCATGGAGGTCAAAGCTGCCAGCCAGTTTGGCGCAGCGTAACGTGGCCGCAGCGGCCGAAGTTCTCTCAAAGGCCATTGGGGTCTGCTGGAGCCTTAACTCCCTTTCCTCCCCTTTTTTTGCTCTTTGGTGTCCCTGGATGCAACACCCAGGTACACCCCTCTGCCTGGTGTGTCCCTGGACGCGTATTTCGTAGCTGGGAGTCCCCTTCTTCCCTTCTCTCTCTGGTGCCTGATGCAGGGTTGAGTTTGTGTCTTGTAAACTAGTAGCGCTGGCCTCCAACCTGGCGCGATGGCCTCCAACGTGCTAGCGATGACCTCCAACCCTGTTGCGCCTGTTGTTTGGTGCAGCTTTGAGTTTGCACAAAAAGACTGCTAGCGATGGCCTCCAGAATTTGGGGCGATGGCCTCCAACTACTAGCGATGGCCTCCAATTTACTTTTCCCGTTTTACTCAGGCCCTTTTTTACCTAGGTTGCCATGTGGCATGTGGCATCCAGTTCCGAACGCATTTTCATCAGTGTGTTTTTTTGGCGCGCCTTTTCTGAGCAAAAGTGCTTACGTGAACCATGCCCGCAAGTCTTTTGACTGCTGGGCTTCACATCTCTTCCGAAGTCGCTCCGTGAGCTCGAGCTTGTTCTCGACGATCTTGGCCTTGCCGCCACAGCGGATGCAGGAGGCCATCTTGCCGCGTCGCTCCATGGTGTGCGTGGGGTGTCCACACCACAACGACGGCTCCAAGGGCCCGACCTTGCATGGAGCTCCAACAAAGGTGCTAAAAGCATCCTCCCGACAGCGAGCAAGAATGTAGGCATGACATTCGGAACAGCGTAAGTACGCTTTTTCAAGCCTCAAATGATGCACTCCCCTCTGTACTCCAGACTGAGCAGCAATGAGGTCGTTGATCACCTCGAAGCGGGTGCGCCGGGTAGGAGTCTTTGGAGCTGCCATCTGGCATGTTTCATCCTGGCTGCCGCGACACACAAAATGTCTCGTGTGTCTTCATCGATGCTCTTTTGCAAATCCAAGATTTCTTCATTCCTGGAAGCCTTGGCAAACTTCTTGGCTTCTTTGTCAGCTTCTTGCTGAAAGAAGCTGCATTGGTGTCGAGTTCCTTTCTGACTTGAGTGAAGTCCTCTGGTTCCAATCCCTCAAACAGGTCAGGAAAGCATTCGTAGGCTCGGGTCGTTTGCCATGCCTTCCAAACAGCATGGTCATAGATGGCCACAGTGACTTTCTCCTTGCTATGAAGTGCCAAGTGTTTCAAGCCATAAAAGATTGCCCTGCACTTTGTGGCATGGCCCGGACAGATGCCCTTGAAGGTGGCCGTCAGTCTGCGAGTGAAGACATGGCGCAGGCAGATCACAAAGACGAACCTCTTGCGGCGCACGTCCGCGGGAGCAACACCCAAGGACACCGCATGACCGTTGGGGATGTCAAAGGCCTCGTCAGGCGTCCAAAGCCCGTCCAGCTGGAAGGTGCTCTAGAAGATGGACTGGACAAGGCCCCTCTGCCAGAGCTCCGGTTCCGTGCCTGCTGACAGGCGTTCCTTCCACTGATCCGGAAGGTCTTTGGCCTTGCCCTTCCAGAAACTGCACTGCCATAGGAGGTGAATGAAGGTGAGGTCTTCTCCACACAGCGGACAGTGTCCCGCTTGCCCATGCAAGGTGCCCTGCTACAGGGCCCGAAGGCCCGGTCCAAGAGTGTCGCCGGACATCTTCTGCAGGGTCAGGCTGACTTGCCAATCCAACAGGTCGCGGCAGCCTTCGTACCTGGTGATCATAGACGCTTAACACACCCCCCCCATGACCTCCCCCCCCCTTTTGGCGATTTGAAGAAAAAGTAAATAAGGCCTTAATAAGGCCTTAATAAGGCCTTAATGCAAAAGAACAAGAAAATAAGCCTGGATTAAGGAATTAAGGTTGATTTAAGCTTGAATCGGGTCTAATTCTGGAAGATGAAAAAACCATGGATTAGGGAATTAAGGTTGATTTAAGCTTGAATCGGGTCTAATTCCGGCCGAGTATTCCTTGCTAACGTCACATTAATTCCTTAATTCAGCCACAATGCAGCCTTAATTCAGCCTCAATTCCTTAACGCAGCCTTAATTCAGCCTTAATTCCTTAACGCAGCCTTAATTCAGCTTTAATGCAGCCTTAATTCAGCCTTAATTCCTTAACGCAGCCTTAATGTTGTTTTTGTAGACTTGGGCCAAATAGAAAAAATCAACCCAGGACCACCAATGACTGATGGTGGATTCAGTCTTCATGATTGAAGTCTCCAAGCAACCTCCTTTTCCTCACATTTAATGAGCTCGCAGGAATTAAAATCTAATTAGGCCTTAAATCCTCTCTCTGGAAATAAGGCAGGATTAAGGATTTCAAAGGGGGGGGGGGGGGGGGGGGGGGGGTGTTAAGCGTTTATGAGGTGAGACGGAGGAGTCGTTGCCACCGGAATTCAGCTTGCAACTTGAACTGCAAAGTTGGCCAGGATTCGGTCAGACTGAGAGTACAGTCAGGTGTTCCGCCATAGCCGACCCTCTTCCAGGCGTGGTTATGTGAGAGATCGAAGTCGTAGTCCAGCAAATAGGCCTGGAGGGCCTGGAGGGGCCCATTGACAACCTGCCAGCGATATTGGACCTTCTGAAGAGCCCCTAAAGCAACATTCCAGCTGGTCCAAAAGAGGTGCTGAGTGCTCTCATCAAAGGAGTGATAGATCTTCCAAACAGAGTGCAGATGCTGCTCAATGATGGAGTCACCCGGGTCAGGGTGTTGTGGATTTATGTCGTACACAATGTCCACTGAACCTGAGCGTTGGAGCTGAAGGCTTCTTGCTGCAGTCACGCGGATGTAGTGCCTTTTGTGTGGGGCCAGACCGTTGGCCTGGGCCCCCCTTCCCGTTGCAGTGCTTGAAGTGGTCGGTAAAGGATGAGTTTGCATGCAGCTGGGTGGGAAGGAGAGCCTCCCTTTCCATCTCGATGAAACGCGCCACAGCTGGGTACGGGAGGTGCCTCAGCATGTCATACGAGATGCCGTCAGGACCCGCTGCCTTGTTAGGGAGGCGACGAAGAAGCTTCTGCAGCAAAGAGGAATCGATTGCCTTCCAGGTGACAGCCTCCTGTTGCGCCAGAGTGCGGAGCCTCGAATGGGCGCTGGCTCGTCCAGGGGCTCCCATATATCACCCCACTGTTGTTCTCTGGCAGTGATGCGGGCAAGGGCTGGAAGGTCCTGAAAAGGTCGCTGCCAAGCTTGATCCCTCTGTCGTAGGCTGCGGAAAAGTCCCCTCAGTCCTGTGCGATGGGCTTTGGCCAACCATTCTTGGAACTCCATGCTTGTGGACTGAAGTGCCTGCTTCTGCGCCTGATGCTCTTGCTCCAAGATCTGAGTACGCAGCTCTGTGGGATCTTGAGATGGCATCTTGAGCCACTGAGTGAGCAGAGCACTGAAAATGTCCACCTAAAAATCCTCAGAGCAGTAGTGTTGGACATCAAGGAGCATGTGACGAATGTCTTGGAGGATGCCTGTGGTGAGCCACATTGATGCGGACATTGAGCTTTTCCCACCGCTCCCCTGAGCCACTTCTTGGAGGTAGTAGTGTCGACCAGAGGAGCCTGGTAGAGCGAGATGTTGGAACCCCGGCCCAAAGTGGGCTTGTGCAGCATTTGAGTGATGTACTTCTCCGTTTGCGTGGCCCAACGAGCAAAATCAGAGCCTAGCCCAGTGATGAGATCATCCATGATGTGGAAAGGGCCATTGTCTTCTTGGAAGCTCGTCCACAAATGAGAGAGTTGAAAGGTTCGTCCAATGGGTGGAAACCTTTGAAGTTGCTGAGCCTGGGCCGGTTGAGCGCAGTCCAACTTGACTTCCAAGGCGCAATGAGGTCTCCAAGGCACTTCCCAGAAGGCGCTGAGGTGAATGCATGGAGCCCACCAGTGTGTTGGCCACCAACAAGTAGTCCAGTTGGCTTCCACGCAGCGTAGTGTTGCCTTGCGTGTCCACAATGGTAGCTCGGAACTTGCTTTGAATGACAGTTGATGCCAAAGCTGCCGGTTCATTTTGCCAATCGCCCCCAATGATGAAGGGAGCATCAAGATGGTGCAGGAAGGCCAGGAGCTTGCTGAGGATAAGGGAGTTGGCTGCCGACTGCAAGGTCTGTTGCATGAGGAGAGAAGATCCTCTTGACAAAGATCATAGAGAAAGATCTGCCCATCCGTGAGTTGGGAGGTGTTCTCACCTTCCATAGCCTGAGCAAAAACACGAGCAAGTGGGAGGTCTGGAGAGGTCCTGAAAGAAGCAGGACCCTTGGGAGTCCGCTCTGACGTAGAGGAGCTCAGTGCCTCTCCAGTGTCTCCTTGCTCTGAAGTCAAAACGGGCGCTGCGCCACCCCCCAGAATCTTCAAGGGCGGTCGTCTGCGCTGCGGCCCATAGCCCTCCAAGCCCCGCGGAGAGCCCAAGTTTGAGCCTGAAGGTTGCAAAAGTGATGAAGAGTGATTGCGCCAATCCCCACAATCAGAAAGAGAAACCTGGACATGTGACAAAGGACATGTCTGAAACCCCTGAGTGAAGGTCGAAGTCAGCCCAAGCAACTGTGCGGGGTTACCCGCAAGACTGGTCCGTCCCGTCGGTTCGGCGCCGCTTTGCTTCTTCATCTGAGTCAGCAGGCGGTCTTTTTTGCATGTTCTGGAGCTGTAGCTGCTGGTCCTCAGTCAAACTGACACCAAGGGTGTTAATGAACCCTGCTACGGCCGCCGGTACGGGGTCACCTCCCACTGCCTCAGGCAGTCCAGCAAAATCAGGCTTTGCTGAGTTGACCAGGTTCATGTACGAGGTGCTGGTGTCCTGAAGGGAGCGCTGCTCAGATTCGATGCGGCCTTGAATGGCCTTCATCTCTTCAAGAAGGTCTTGGTAGGACTTTTTTGTCGAATCGATCCGCTGCTGAAGAGCATTCTTCTTGTGGGACAAATCCTTCAGCATGGACACATGGGTTTTCAGCTTTGAGGCCACGTCCTTTCCGGTGGGCGGAGATGGCTTGGTCAGCTTCTCAACAATCTCCCGCACATTGGAAGGTAGTTGAGCTAGGTTTTCCATGAGGATGTCTTTCAAGTCCGGCCCCGGTGGGGGGAGGCGGGGAGATCCCCAAGGCCTGCAACTTCTGTTGCAAAGCAGGGTCCAAGTTGGACCAGGTGGGAGCCAGTGCATCCGCCGTGGCCTTCTGGAGCTTGGTCATCTTGGGGGCCTTGGAGAGCAAGCCAGGCGGAGGAGTCACCGGCATCTGGTGCTTATTCTTCCTCTGTGGAGATCTTGAAGATGGAGCCGTCAAGTACCCTTGTGGTGGGCGGGGCCACTTCTCTCCACATCGTCGGCATACATAGCCTTCCCTCACCTTATCGGTCCAAATCCAGTTGACACATCCATGGCCTCCACAAACCTGGTAGGAGCGGCACCAATTGCCTCCCATAGTCATAGGTGTAGGTCACCTGGTCGTCCACGTTCAGGCCCTCCGAGGATTCGAAGGGGAGGTGACCGTGTAGTTCTGGACGCCCAGTGACTGTAGGCCACCAGGTTTGAGGCTTAAACGGCCTTGAGCCATTTTCATCAGTGTGTGTATATCTATATATATGTGTGTGTGTGTGTGCGTGTGTCTCCGTTAGTTTACAGTACAGACATGAATCTTCAAGCAGCCCGATCTCGATTATATGTGCTCACAGGGAGGGTTTCAAAGCACTGCAGCACAGGATGACCCCTTAGTTGTACATGTTGAATGGACATGTTACATGTTTGGTTGTCAAAGGAATGCTGGCGAAACCAACACAAAATAAGGACTTACATATCCTTTAGCATGAAGCCAATTCATCTCCACTCTGCTGTACGTCGCTAGCTCGGGCTCGTGTGGAGAAAGCCCACAGTCACACTGGCCAAAAGCTTATCGTAGCCTTCACACCGGACATGTTACAATAGGGTAGCTGCATACCAGCATTGCCACTCGTTCCTTTAAAATAGATAAGAGATTCTAGAAGACTGGTCTTGTCCTTTTGTTTCACCCACGTTGATGTCTTTTGGTTAATTTCAACTTGCCTACTGGCGCTTCTGCAACTTGCCCTTGTGTTGCAAGCAGTTTCCAACCTATGTTGCATCTTGCGAGCTAGGAATCAACTGACCCTTCCAACTTGAGCTACTTTTTGTTTGATTGATAATTGATAAGAGCTTCGGCCAACTCCCTTATCTGCTGCAAATATTCCTGCGCGAGGTTCTCTAGGCTCAGCTAAGTCAATCCCACTTATTGGTGCTGGATTTGCACGCTGCCAAACACAAGGCCCGAGCACGTGTCTCATCCTCGCTACGGGGTATTGCGGTGCCAGTTTACGCTGTAATCATTGTTCCTTTATCCCTCTGGTGCTTTCCTTGTCTCCTGCAGGATGCTACACACCGTTTGCCATGCTTGGATTGCCTCCACCCACGGACGAAGACAGTGTCCAGTTTCATGGATCGCAGACTTTAGCTTTTTACTCCAGTTTGTGTGAACTCTTTGAAATGATGTGTTGGAGGACATTCTAAGGTCTAGAGTCTAAATGCGTCCTTTCAATTGGCTGCCATGCTCGGCAACTGCTGGTGTGTCTTTGGCTGAGGCTCCTGCAACCACAATTCCACGAAAATATCTCACTTTGCCCACACTGCACATGCTTCCTGGAAGCGGAGCACTAAACAAGCACTGCCTGTGGGTGCACATTAGGGTCCTTCCTTGAGGAGCTTTGATACATATTCGCTGACTCCTTTGTTAAAAAGAGGTACGGGTAGGAACAACCGATGAAACGAACCTGTACAAAGGGATGGCGGATGAGTCTGTGCAAGTTGAGAATAGGTCACACGCGTAAGTCCAGAGGTGTTTACAGTGGGACTACAATAGACGCACGTGGAGGGCCTTGCCTTTGTTGAGCAATTGCTGAGTTTTTGACCCAAAACTTGGATGTGAGTCAAGATTTGGTAGTGGGTCTAGTCTGGTCCAATGCGCTTTCACATGATCTTGCTGGGCCATGCCAGCCTTTCTGTTTGTGGCTGCTAACAAGGCTTTGCGCGTGGGGCACTGTTGCACGGAAACTGTTCATTTCTCTACAAATCCGAAACCACCAATCTTCCCATCTTTGCTAAAAGGCCATCATCGTCGAAGGTGAGAAGGTTTTGCAGGGATAAAGGCCCATATACAGTAGTATTTGAAAGGGTTTGGCCCCCAAGTGAGCTGCAAGCGCTGCGATAGTTGCATGTTCGGCTGCTTTGCGCTCACTTTGCCGAAGGCTTTCCCATGTTTTTGTTGGCGGATCTGTAGATCAAACACGAACCAGTGAAGCAATTCTGCAGGTTGCGGAAACATCGCCTTGAAACAGAATTGGCAGAAGAGAGCACAGAGCCGGCGCCCGAATAAGTGGAACCCATGTCTCTGGCAGAGGCCATTGTCACTGAATGCCAACGAGAGTCTCATGGGTGTAATGTCCAACATGTGCTGCCGCAGTTCTTTCAGCTGCAGATTGGGATCGACACCCTTTAGCTCCTGGACGTAGACCTTGCGCCTGGTCTTGAAAGGCACAAATCGCTGCTCTACATCTGCAATTTCTCCGAATCTTCATTTGTCAGCAAAAAAGGCAAAGTGATCCTCCAATGTTTGCCTTTCCCACAACCCAGCCTTTCGTCCCAAAAAGTGTTGGCTGGCTGGCGCCACTTCCAGGTGTAGCCCCCCCCTTCACTTTCGACAAACTCAACAGGGCCGGCGGTCCGGTAGAACTCCAGCTCCTCTGATTGTGTTTTTTTCAGACTGGGAAAACTCTATTTAAAGGCAGTCCAGAATCAACAGCTATATAGAACCATGAGGAGCCTGTTGGAACTGGTATTTGTAGTATGATCTTGAGAAGGGGTACCGGGATACCAAATGAAAAGTTGCACATCAGTCTTCTTCTTATTCGTCTTATTTTTATTTTTCTTCTTCTTCTTCTTCTTCTTCTTCTTCTTCCTTTTTCTTCTTATTATTATTATTATTCTTCTTCTTCTTCTTCTTCTTCTTCTTCCTTTTTCTTCTTCTTCTTCTTCTTCTTCTTCTTCTTGTCCTTCTTCTTTTCACACACACACATAAATCTAGAAAAAAAAGTAAACAAGGAATTCAAAGGTTCACCTTCACAAACCTGCATAGGTTTGGAAATACAAAGCAGTCGTTTGATGGTGCTGGATGGAGAACTCATATGCCAACAATATCTATAAGCTTGTGTGTTGCTGCAGGGGCTTCCTGAGCTGGAAGTTCACACAGGGCAAACAGTCTTGTCAAAAGAAAGCGTTCAATGGTTTACCCTCATAAGTCATGATGGCAAAAGTGCCATAGATTGTGAGATTGTTCATTCATTCATTTGTTTGGTGCTCTTAGCCAGGGCTCGAGGAACATCTAGGGTTCTCTTAGAATTGCCTCGTCAGCCCCAATCGTGCAAACGCAACTGCCAGCCCGCCGCCTGGAGTCCGAGCTGGCATAGTAGGTTGAGGAAATCCCGGCAGAAGGCCCGGGCTCTGGTGTGCCGAGTTCAGACTAAGGGATTGGTGGATAGCCAAGTTCAGCGCTTTAGTGCGGCCCAACGTCTCCTGGAAAACCACCATTCTAGGCCCTGTTCTTCACTCCCTGACAACATCATCAAGAAGAGGGTTCTTTGGTACAATGTCATGGAAAGCTTCCAATTACCGTGAAAGAGACTGGTCGGCGCTACGCCAGCCAAAAGATTCGTGGAAGAAGCAGAAGAAGACAGACGAAGGAGACCACATCCGGGCTTGGGATGGGCGAAAGATACGTCTACAAGACGGCGATCAGCCTATGCCCCCTTCGCGGTCTACACTTTCCACCTCTGGAGCGGGATCTTCACAGGAAGATACTGCACTTCGGGATATGGTCAAGTCGCTTGTCGATTCCCGAGCGATTATGGACCCAGACTTGTCCAAGCAAGCGGCAGAGTTGATCCAAGAAATTCCCAAAGAGCAGATCCGCAGAGAGCAAAAGGAACTCAACCAGAGGAGGAAGGAATTGACTCGGCGCGAGAAGATCGAGGAGCAGTTAGACAACACCCAGAATGGTTTCAAGGAGGGGAAAAGCAAAGTCACTCATACGGTCAGAGTCGAAGAGACCAGGTGTACAGACGCCTGTCGACAATTGAGGGAGAAGCTCAGCAACATCGACAAGGAGGAGAAAGATGGCATGGACTCAGAAGACGAAGGGGAAAGCGAGCTTTCTGGCATGAAGAGAGCGCTTCGGCAACAAGAAGCTGTCAACCATGGGTTGATGGATCAGAACAGACAGATCACGCAGCAGCTGGAGATGCTTATATACCAGGGCTATGCAGCAGATCACCCTTCAGCTGCCTCAGATGTCATCAACGGTGCATGCTGGTGCTGCTCTCCGCAGTGCTATGAATGCAGAAGTCGTACAAGTCCCAGACGAGGAGGCCACCGAAGAAGAGGTTGTAGCGATACTGAAGCAGTATCCCCGGGAAGTGGCCGAATTGACGGTTCAGTCCTTGCGAGATGGCAATGGACCACAGACTGTCGAGGTGAAGGAAATCGCTGGGCACTTTTTGATTCAGAATGTAGCGGCAAAGGGGGCAGCGAATGGGGGCAAAGATTCTATGGCACCATTCGGAAAGGTGGCTACACCAAAGCAGGAGAGGCACCAGCCATATACTCAGCTCGGCAGCCCTTAAGGGGACACAGGCCCACGGAAAGGAGGTCTGGGCGATCTGGAATGAAAGGCTGCAAGTGGCATGGGGGCCTTGGGCTGAACTTTTGTCTCTGAGTCTTGGCGGCTCAGAGTCCTTTTCCATTGTTCTTCCTTGTGCCCCTTTGTACAAGTCAGTGTTTGCCCAGTGAGCCCCTTCGGTGGATTAGATTGGACCAGATTTGCTAGTGGCCGGACCTCTCAAAGCCCTGCCTGTCCCAAATGTCGGTGGCAATAAGGTCTGCCGAGTTGCCAGCTCAGCCCAAGCATCCTTGTTTAGAGGCTGTTTGATTTGGCGCTGATAGGGATGACCAGGTTGATGCGTTGTTGGTTTTTGAAGAATGTTGCCTCGGTAATGAGACAAGTTGCGGAGCTGATGGTACAGATCCTTGGCGTTTGAGTACCGGGTACATCAAGCCCCTGCAGCTTCACATTGCTGAGTTGAAGACTTTGGCGGTTGTCTGTTTCGCCCTTGCTTGTTGCCTCCATAGGAGTTCTGCAGGAACTGGCCGCAGACGATTTGTCATTTTTCGAAAGGCAAGAATTGTTCGAGCCTTAGACTGTCTCCGAGGTGTAGTGGTTTTAGCACTTGGGTTGTGCTATGTCCTCAGGCTTTTCATTGCCTGGTTTGAGGGAGATTTTGGTGTGACGTATATATGCTCATTTAGGTGAGAGCCTCTGTCAATTTTGCGCCTGCAATCCCATCATGATTTGTTTAGGAGCAATGTGGGTTAGCCGACACAGATTGATCAGATTCGAGTTGCTGTTTTGCAGTGAGTATTATGTGAAGTCTCCTGCCAAGACAGCAGGGAAAAGTCGCATTCGCTGTGGACGTGGAAAGCTACCACCGACAAGAGCCCATACTCAAATGGCCGCGAAGAGGCCGCTATCGGCCTGCTGGCGCCGATTTGGGCTGATGACCTTGCAATATCATTTTCGGCTGAGCAATTTTTGACAGGCTCGCCATTGCCGGTCTGTCGCCTAACCTTGCCAAGGGTAAGACCGAGTTGATCCTGAACTGCCGGGGGAAAGGGTCCCTCGAAATCAGACGACAGCTTGCCAGCCAAGGACACGAGCTTCAGACAATATCCCGTCTTGTGCATGAAAAGCTTCGACTTACGGGAAGCTACAAGCACCTCGGCACATGGATTGAACTAAAGCAGGGCATCCGCAAGGATGTACAGACGAAATTCGCTGCAGCACATGTGGTCATTACAGGTATAAGAGTCAAATTTTTCACAACCGTATGTTGCCTCTAGAGAAAAAACGCCAATTTTACGAGTCATTGGTCCTGTCCACGATGTCTTTTAACATGGCTTTATGGCATGCGCCCACGAAGCGACAAGATCGACAGCTCTCGACGAGCTTCTCCAAGCTCCAGAAGCGGTTTGCGATCTTGTATTTGAACGTAATGCACTACAATGGTCCAACGAAAAGGTGCTTTCTGCAACTGGACTGCAGAGCCATGGGATCATTTTAGCAGTTGCCCGACTGAGATATGTTGGACGCCTCGTTTTTCGAGGCCAACTGCATATGTGGACACTTTTGAGGCAAGAAATGAGCTGGTGGAAGCTGGTCGAAAACGACATCGAATGGGTACAAACCTTTTGTCCAAAAGCGCAAGTTCCCTCGCCGGCGCATGAATGGACAGAGTGGTTTGAAATCGTGTCCACATCTTCCACCAAATGGAAGGCACTGCTCAAACGTGCTGCAGCTAGAAGCCAGGCCTTTTTCCAACGGAAGTGCGCTTGGGAGCAATGGCACGCAGAGATTCTTCTAGATGTGATGCAAACTGGAATATGCCCTCCTCCGCCGCAAGTTGAGGTCCAGAGCCAGCAAAACTGCTTGCAGTGCCGACGGGTCTTTGAGAGTGCATCAGCTTGTGCCGTTCACGCCTTCAAGCAGCACGACAGGGCTGCCCGAGCCCGTGATTTCGTGACCGGAGTAGTCTGCGAGGCCTGTTTGAAAGCTTTCTCTAGCCATGTTGATCTCATTAACCATATCAACAGAAAGACGGCTTGCTTCCGTAAATATAAAGCTCGTGGCCTCCAAGTTGAACGCGAGCCTGGAGCAAATAGTAAAAGGGCCAACAAGGATAGGAACGACTTACCAGAGCCTTTCATGCAGGCCAAAGGGCCACAGCCAGCTTGGGAAGGGCACCATGGAGCCCAGACAGTGGCAATGAGACAGAGAGTCTCCTTAGAAATCTTAGAACATGCCTGGAGCGACGCTATGAGCGGACAGATACATACTGCCCCGATCACTGAGGCGTTGCGGATAGCAACTAAGGAGACACACCTCTACCACAATGAGATTGTTGGGCTCTCGTGGAGTGAATCCTGGTTGCAGACACACGAAGACGCCCCACTCACAGTGCTTTGTGCCTTCCAGTTGTTCTTGGCCAACGCAAGTAGCTCATGGTTTCTGGACGGGCGGCAGCCGGTTAAGCAGATGCATGAGCGAGCCGGCTTTTCTTTGTGCACCCCGAAAGGGTGCGCTATAAGCCTAGAATGGTCGCGCACCTTTTTTCAGGTGCAAGGCGCCACCTCCATGTTCAGGCACACCTCGAGAAGCGTGGATTCCTCCATCGACATTATTTTCGACTCCAAGTGGGGTGATCTGAGCCGCGAAGAGACTTTTAACCTTTTCGCGGAGGCCCTGCGATTCCGGGCGGTCCAAGACCAGTCCGCAAGCGCGGAATGCCATGGGGGAATTTTGACCTGAGCCTACGAGAGCCCAGGCAGGTTACTATAGGTAGCCTCCTCCTAGGTATTGCAATACGTTTGATGTGGATCACCCTTACAGTGGGCGCCACTTCAATTTTGGAGCACCCGGCTGACCTCAGCCAAGATGTGAACCGACCCAGTATATGGAGACTCGAGATCATACATTTTTCCTGAGGTTCCCGCAGTGTGACAAGGTGGAGATTTTACAAGGCCATTTTGGTGGTATCACCCCCAAGCCCACTACGTTGTTCATTATCAACGGTGCTCAGGATAATGCAGGACTTCTCCACTCCTTGCGCACTACAAGTCTTCCCAAAGAGGCGGCACTAGGCCGTGACGAGGCCGGTAACTGGAAGACTGCCGCCCTGAAAGAATACCCGTCAGGGCTATGCAACGCACTCTGTTGCATAGTGGAAGAGGGCCAGGCTATGCATGGTCAGGAAGCCACTGACGACATCCCAGTGGCCTTTCTCGAAACTATAGGCGAGTTGACTAAGGATTTTGACTACTCTGCCGAGCGTGGCCTGGACTTCCATGTGTGATTGCATGAACTAGTAATTAGATGCCCTGGCCGCGGGCGAACGCCTATGGCCAGCAGAAGAGGAAAAGAGGTGCTCTTAGCCATTGAAAGGTTTCAGTTGGCCGAGAAAACCTCCGGATGAAAGAACAAAGTAGAATGTTCATGCCAAAGGCTCAGTCCGCACCACACTCCCCTCCCTTGTCTTCTCAATGTGCGTTCTACCATACTTCAGTTGACCTCTCATTCAAGTTGTGTTCGTTCCCCCTCCTACTTTACTGTAGACTGGGGTACGGTAAAGGACAGGGCTAAGTAGAATAGAATAGGAAGGAGTGGAGAAAGGTAGCGCATGCCAGAACTACTTCCCTGCTCAATTCTACTTCAGTTTGATTTACGCATCTGCCTGCGTTTTTCTCATGATCTATTGCCTGTACTCCACGATTTGTTTGATGTGATGATGTGACACATTTACACACATTTCACTACTCCGTGTTCCACTCTCTCTCTTCGCCTCTAGCCTACTCTCCTTACTTGTCAACAAACACTGCCCAAGTCAATACAAGTCAAACCCTGTCGAATCAATATTACATTGGAAACAGAAGGCATCATTATAGTATACAAGTTGATTGAAACAGAATTGCAAAGAATAATGCTTGTGCGGAATGACTCAAAAGAAGTGAGAAGATCCCGCTCCTTCTCGTAAATGTCTGATATTCTTGCGCTGCCTTGAAGCGGCCATTCCGACCCTTCCTTCTGGCTTTCATTTTTCCTCGTGGCTCGATCTTTTGTCCCTTCTGATTTTATTTGTGTCACTTCGTGGCTCTCGCACAGAGCCCATGGGCACTACACCCCAGAACATCATGAATCAAAGAAGACATCTGCTAAAGCCTGCGTTGCTTGCCTCAACTGTTCCAATCAGTCGCATAGCACCAATGTCCAGGCCTACTTTCGATTCGTGCTTTGTGTTCATCAATGAGATCTTCCAGAAATTCGTCACCTCAGCACTGCAACAGCCCAGAAGCCCCAAAAAACTATCCATCTAGCAAGAGCTGTTTACAAAGTATTTTTCAATAGTTACAAGTTACTATACAGTTGCGCTATATAATGGGTTGGAGGCCATCGCTGATAGGTTGGAGGCCATCGCTAGTAGGTTGGAGGCCATCGCTAGTAGGTTGGAGGCCATCGC